TTTCTTGTATTATTCTTATTTTTATTTACTTCCTGTTTTTTTTCATTCGCTATTTTTAATCTTTTTTTTTTTTTTAAAAACATTTATTATTATTTTTTTTTTTTTTTTTTTTTTTTTTTTTAAAATTTTTTTTTTTTTTTTTTTTTTTTTTTTTTTTTTTTTTGTTATATCATTCATAAATGCATTAAAAAAATATATTAAATTGCATATTTTATTCAAATGGATTATAACTGTTAAGGTGCTTTGATAATTTTTCTAACATAGCTGTTTCATTAAAGTATTGATTATTCATAATACTATTATCATCATATTCATGAGCTTTACTTTCATCATCTTTATTTTTATTATTTTCTATTTTCTTTCCATCATTACTACTATTATTTTTATTTTTATAATTATTCTTATTGAAATGGATCTTATAATTTAAAATTTTCATATCATTATTCATAGGATTATTCTTTTTTTTTGATACCTCTTGGGAGGAATTATAAAATTTACTTAATATTTCCTTTTCACTGTAACACTTGGAATTTTTATCTAATAACATATTTTTATTTATATAATCTGAACTACTTGGTGAAATTTTTTTTTCTGATTCATTTTTATTTGTTCCTTTAATTAATCCTAATAAATATTTTCCTGATGTGTTTATTTTCAATTCTTTATCTTCTTTTTCTTTCTCTAAATGGAAATTATCCAATTTTTTCGTTAAAGTGTTGTTCGTTTTTGTATATATTTTTTTTAAATTATTTTTTTGATTATCACTGATTAATGAGTCATTATATATATTTTGATAATTATTTATTTTTAATTCACTGTTTAATTTTTTACTATCTTCGACAGTTGATGTGAAATTTTTTTTATTTTCATATTTATTTTTTTGATTTATTAAATTATCTTTTTTCATTATGGTAGAACTTATATCATAATAGTTATTGCTTTTTGAATTTTGTTCTATAAAATTTCTTATTTTATCATCTTTTTCTTTATTTTTTATGAAATTATTTACATCAATTTCATTTTTATTAGCCTTCTGATCATTATTATCAGTTATATCATGTCTTACTAATTTTTTAGAAAAACTACAATTTTTTTCTAACTCTCTATCTTTTATATCATTACTATTACAAAAAATATTATTGTTATTTTGTAAAATGAATTTATTATAATTATTATTTAAATTATTTGTATTCTTATTTTCCTTTAAAGTATAACTTCCCATATTATTATTAATACTATTCACTTTGTTATTATTATCTTTTTTATTATTTATATTGTTAATTGTGTTATCTTTATTATCTTCAACATTTTTATTATTTAATTTATTGAAATTCATATGTTGATTTTTCATTATACTGTTCATAATAAAATTATTACTTTCATTCGTACATTTGTTTACATTTTCAAAATCATTTTTAGAATAATTTAATTCACTCATATCTTTTATATTATTAGTATTTGCTTTATTTACATCTGGTATATTATTTTTCAATAAAATATTCTTCGTATTATGTAATAAACTGCCTATTTCATTGTTGTAAGAATAATTATCAGTTTTTGAACGTATATAATTTTTTTCTTCATTATTATTACAAATGTTAATTATTTTATTAGAAAAGTTATTCACATTTTTACTTAGATTATAGTTATTTCTAATTAATCCATTTTTATTAAACTTAATCATATTTTCTTCATTATATACTAAAGGAGTGGTATAATCTTCTATGTTATAAGTTGAATGAACACCAAATTTTTCTTCATTTAATTTAAACATATCTTCAGCACTCCATCCATTTGAATGATTTTCACCAAAAGTTTTGTCATTACAAGCATCTAATGTTGTATTTCTTGAAGGTACGTAATAAACTGATGAATCGTCTAGCGAACAACCTGCATATTTCTTTATTTTCCGCTTAAATTTATATAAATCTTTTTTGTTATCATATAATTTGTATTTATTACCATATACATGCATTTGAAAATTTTTTCTTTTATCAATATCTTGATCATCAAAACTTCTTAAACCAACTTCTTTTAATCGTAAAGCTGATAAATGCCCCATTCTAATTTTATTAAAATTATATCTATACCTTTTTTCATATATGTCGAAATCAACATTTTTTGTAAATGCATTATAAGTTTTATACATATGATTATTATTTCCATAATAAGACTTATTATTAATGTTTTTATTTGAATTATATAATAAATTATTAGATATGTGATTTACATTTTTATCTATATTTTTTATGTTATTGTTTTCATCTGATTGATAGTTATTATCTTTTCCAACATTTTTATGACTATTATTTCCATTATTATATATATATATATCTTTATTATAATTTTTAATACTGTTACAATTGATGTTAATATTTTTACAATTATTCAACTTATTATTATTAATATTATTTATATTATCACTATTATAATTATTTTCATTTTTTGTTATATTTAAATTAGTTTCTGATGATTTATATAATGAATTATTTTTTATTGTGTCATTCCCTTTCGACAGATTTAAATTTAAAGAAACGTTTTCTATATTATCAGTTTTTTTCTCATTAATAATAAATGATTTATCCGATAGATTTTTGATTTTCATTTTATATCCGTCTTCTTTCAAACTATTATTCATACTTTCTGCAAAATCTTCACAATTTTTATTATTGTTTTCACTAGTATTTTTCAAATCGTTATCATAAAATTTATTACTAATTTGAAACATATTTACATTATTTTTTTCTGTGTTATTAATTCTATAATTATTATTTTCAATAATATTATTTACACATATATTTTTTAATTCATTTTCATTATTATTATTCATACTAGCCAAACTTTTGCTTCCATTTCCGAGAATATTATTAACAATATTATTATAAATATTATTAGATATAATATTTGAATTTTCATTATCATAGATATTACTAAAAACATTATTATTATTTTCATCATTATTAATATTATTAGGTTCATTTTCCATGTTATGTGTAATTTTGTTTATATTTATGCTATTATCTTGATCATATTTATCATTATTTGTATAAGATATGTCATCTATGTTCATAATACTAATATCTTTTAGTGATTTTTCAGTTATTTCATCATCACTCTTATATGAACTAATTTTTATAATATCCTTAGATTCATAATCTGCATATTGAAGACTTCTAATAACTTTAGTATCTATTCCAGTGATTTGATATTTATATGCTAAAATACTACTAGATTCATATGAATTTTCTTTTAAAAAGTTTTCATTAACAGACATTTTTAGAATATTTATCCATTTTTTTAAATTAGGAATAAAAGGAAAAACAAACCATGCATTTATACGTTCTTTTTTATTTTCAAATAAATTATCTTTTTCTTTTAAATCTTGATATGCAGTTAATTTATCTATTTCAAACCAACGAATATCTCCAATTTCTTTTCTTGTTTTTGGTTGAAATTTTGTATCTTCTTTTACACCAGGAATAATAAATAATTTGATTGGTTGATCTTCAATATGAGTTTCAATATATACTTGTTCATCTATATATGGAAATATATCTATTCCAATTTCTTCATAAATTTCTCTACAAGCACAAACAGAATCTTCTTCTAATTCATCAACTTTACCTCTAGGAAATGCCCATCTATCATTACTCCATCCCTTTACTAATAGGCATTTTTTTAAATTGTGATTTAAAAGAATAGCACCTCTTAATGGAATTGTTCTACAATATCTTCTCCAATTTAATGAAAATTGTTCATGTGCTGATGGTGGTACATATTTTTTCAGAATTGGACAATCATCACATATTAAATAACCAAATGCTTTTAAACTTAATTTTGGTAATTTATCTGGGTATTTATCTTGCCACATATCATCATACCACCAATATGCTTCTTGAATCTGAAAATACAAATGTACATGATCCTTTAAAAGAAATTCTGGAAGTAAAGCTATGAATCTTCCATAACAATCTAATAATGCATCATCAAATAATTTTTTGTCTTTGGCTAACTGTTTAATTCTGTGTGCACTAAATGTTTTTATATTTTTTGTGTTATTAAAAGATTTACTTTGTAAATTTTTCTGTAATTTGCTATTTATGTTTTTTGTTGAGTTCATTTTTTTTTTTTGAAATTTGACTTTATATATATATCACAACATATACAAGAAAACATGATTCTAATTATTTATTAAAAAATAAAAAGGCATATATATATATATATATAAGTATATATATATATGTATATATGTATATATATATATGTATATATGTATATATATATGTATATATATATGTTTATAAAAAAAAAAATTAAATTATATTTAAATAAAAATTATATTTCTGAAAGAAAAAAAAATAATAAATTTACTAACAAATCATTAAAAAAAAATGAATAAAATAAAAACATTTACTGTTATTTTCACATCTTTGTAATTTAAGAATACTATTGTTAATCATATATAAAAAAAAAATTATATAAAAAATACATACCTACTGAATATTATATTAATTTAATTATTTTATTCCTATAGGAATAGGAATATATATATTTCAAAAATAATATATAAATAATTTAAAACATTTTTTCTATTTTTTAGTACAGAACATGCATTATTATAAAAAAAAAAAAAAAAAAAAAAAATTGGAACAATAATGGGATAATAAAAAAAAAAAAAAAATGAACAAAATAAAGAATTTATTATTAAACAAACAAAAATGTGTTAATAGATTTATATATAAAAAATGGTATGAAAAATATTTTTAAAAATATAAGTATATAATTATTTAATGTTTAAAAAAAAAAAATATAAAAGAATAAGGCAAATTTTTTTTTAATTTTTACTCTAAATAATAATTTTTTTGTATATCATAAGTGTACATAATGTTTTATTTTGTACATTTATTCGTTTTGAAGTATATAATAATCATTTAAATATATTTTTTTTTGCTTTTAAAATATATTTCTTAATAGAATCATATCTATTAATAAAATATATTAAAATAAGATATAATAGGAAGACATGAGAAAAAAATAAAAAAATTAATATAAAAATATATATTATGAAAATATAAAATTAACAAAATAATATATTTCCATTAAACGAAAAACAAAAAAAAAAAAAAAATTGAACTTGTATATTATAAACGTTCTTTTATTTAAAGAAATCTTCCTATATATTATTTAAAAGGATAGATATTCTTCAAAAAATTTTATTTTTTTGGATTTATAATATATGACATTTTGATGATTCCTTTTTAAGCTATTAAACTTTTTTTTCTTAGTTTCCTTATTAATATTGTTATAAAAACAAATAAATATTACTATATTTTTTTTAGTCCTTAGTTTTATCAATTATGTATAATTATGTGTGTTGCTTTAATAGATATATTCAAAATACTTTCATTTGGCATGTTATTCAAATAAATACATTAAAAGTATTCCAAAGATTTATTTATAATTAAAAGAAAAAAAAAAAAAAAAAAAAGCTTCTCTACTCAAATAATATAAAAAAAAAAAAAAAAAAAAAAAAAA